TCCCTACACAGACCGTCATCCCCTTCTATAACCTTGGCGTGCTCATTGCGCTGTTCTCCCCGCGGTGCTCAGACTCCCTCGCCAGCGTTCGCCAGTACGCTGTCGACTGTGTCTACTGCCTGCTCTATATGCAGCTGCGTTATGAAGGTAGGCACGCGGGTGGTGGAGAGTAGTTTTGACGCTTTGCAGTCAGTGCCAAGAGCAGCAGGAGCCCTCTTCCCTGCTGCCAGGCAGAGGGATGCAAATTCTGTCTCTTCCCCTAACACCTCCACATACATGATCACAAAGGATTCACCTGTGACCAGAGATAGCTGCAGAATGGCCAGAATTGGGGCTGAGGTAGACCATCACTTAAGTGCTCGTACTTGTAAGATTTGGATTTCAAAGGCTTTCGCAAGCACTTCTGTGCAACCGGTCCTGTTGGCAGGACGAGGTTTCTGAGCCTGCCTTTCCATGTGGTATTCTCGCTCTCTCCAGGAGAGGTCAGTCCTCCACTTGAGATGGGCTGAGCAGAGACAAGGCACGGAGAGAAAGCACAGCACGTGCGGCACCAGGAGGGACTATGTTTTGGTCCTGCTCTTGGGAGCAGTGTGGCAAGCACTTTACAGGGCAAGCACTTCTGGCCCTTGACAATAGCTTCAGTTTCTTAGCTCCTCTCTCAAAACTGGGTTAACTTGCAAGTAAAATGCAGCTCTGCTGCATTTGCATGCCCCTTTGGGGTATCTGTGTTGTGGCATATAAAGCAGGAGGAATTTTTCTTAACTGAATGCTCCCCCTGAATCCAGGGTTTGCCCGGGATCACAGAGATGAGATGGTGGAGGGACTGAAAGCTCTGAAGAAAGGCCTGGAGGAGCCAGACTTCACTGTTCTCTTCCACACCTGCAACAACATTGCCATGGTAAGGCGAAGGGCAAATCCACCTGGCCCTGGTCTTTGCAGTGTGGTCAAGCTGTGGAGCAGGAGCTGCTGAGGACTTGATGCCGTCTTCTGAATGTGTCAGCTAAAAGCTAATGCGGACTGGTCTAGCTCCAGTGTGCTAGACCTGTATAGGACCCCGGTATGCTCCAGAGGGTGACCGGTGGGACTGCCGTACCCAGTGCGTCATGCCCCTCGGCAGAAGCCTCTGGCTGAAGCACAGCATTTGAGGCTGGGTCTCCGTCCGCGCTTCCCTGCGAAGCACAGGGCGCTTGGCTCGGGAGTTGGAGCCGCAGGGCTCCTAGCTTGCTCCCGGTATGGCAGTGTTGTGGGTAAAGCTGTTCAGTGCAGTCACTGGTCCAAATGTGACTCGCTCAAACCATGGTAATTTGAGTGGCGTGAACAATGTCTGGGGCCTGGTGGTGAAGGAGTCGGGGGGACGGAGGTGGATGATCACCTCTGCTCCTGAACTGCATGGGTGAACTCCTCCTTGGCCGTTTTCTGTGCTGAGAGCTCTGGTCCGGAAGGGCTTGTAGCTATAGAGAACTAGGAGAAGCTGGCGATATCTTCTTATTCTGGAAAAGCTGTCATTCCTGAAGTGTTGCAGCTCTAGAGCGTGTGGCGAGAGCTGGGGAAGCAGCCTTGCGGCTGGTGGGCGGTTGCCAGAGCAGTGGTAATGAGTTGGCTACGTTATCTTAACCTGTCCTAAGAGACCCCTGAGTTATCTGACCACATTGGTTAGCAGCACGATGCAGGTGGTCTCCTGCCTCCTTGAGGGTTGTGGCGTGACTGTTGCTCCCTTGTTACCACTGCCTTGGGCTCCTGGCTGGGGCCCCTCCTGGGCATTGAGTCGAGAAATAGCTGTCCTACTGCCTACAGCTGGGGCTATGAGGGTGCAGAGGGCCCTTCATCCAGGCTGCGATGGTGTCGCGGAAAGGACCGGTCTTTTCCAGGAGCGACAAAACCGGATCACTCAGTTCAGCTTGTCGTCCTCTGTCCTGACTAGGTGATTGGGAAACGTGTCCCTCCTGACCAGCTGATGAGCCTCTTGCTGGCCATGTTTGAGGGGCTGGTGGACCCTGATAAGAACTGTTCCCGTGCAGCCACGGTCATGATCAACTCCCTGCTCAAGGAGCGTGGAGGTGTCCTGCAGGAGAAGGTAAGCTGCTGCTCGGCCTTAGCACTGCCTCTGCGATCCAAAAGCAGCCCTGGAGCTGCCTCCCTCTTTCCAAGTACGTAGCCTCTCCCTGCTGCTGCTGACTGCCCTGTTCCACCTGGAGAGCTGACAGCCAGTTTGCTGGGGGTGACGGGCTTTTCCAGTACAGGTGCGGGTATCCCAGTAAGGTGCAAGGCATTGGCAGGTGCGTCATGCCCCGTGCCAGCCCTGACAGGAGAAGGGAGGTGTTTAACCCAGAGTACTCCCTGGCCCAGTGGACTCTGTATCGAGCATTGCCGTTGTGTTTCTGGCTGGGGGAATGCCTGCCCTAAGCTGTTCGGTGCTGTCGCTCCTGACCTTCCTTGTTTCCCATGGGCACATGCACTCGCGCTCCGCTCCTCCATCCAAGCGGCTCTGGAAGGCGGCTGCGTGGTAGGGAGGCGCCTGCTGCTGGCGGGCCCTGCTCCGCTCTGGCGCTCTCACACGGGTTGAGGAGTTCAGAGAAGCTCACTTTACCAGAAGGGCTCAGGCTCCCTGTGAAACCTTTGCAAGCTCTGGGGGAGCCCAGGGTTCCTGGCTGGGAAGCAGGTCTGAAAGCTTGTAGGGCTTAGAGGTGCTGGACACAGAAGGCTTTTTTGTCTAATCCACTACCTTTAGGGCTAAGCTCCCCCTTTCTCTTGCAGTAATTGGAAACACCAGGTCCCTAGCCACTCCTTGGTCTTTCTTTTGCGCTAGAGCTTCTGCTAAAGTCCTGCTCACTACCTATTAGCCTCTATCCTACATGGGATTGCTCCAGCTTACATGACTCACCTTTTGGTCAGATCCAGTCCAGCCCAGATCCTGAAATCTGAACTGATGCTAAGCCTCTGAGTCCATGGGGCAGACCTGAGCGCAGCTGGGGACGGAGCTCTCTGCTGCTCTGCACTTAATCTCTGGAATTTGCTGCCAGGCCTGGTCTGTGCATGAACTTCCTATTTGTCTTAACATGCATTTTACAGCTTGCAGCGAGTGCTGAGGTGTCTCCCTGTGTTCAGCTCAAGTTCCTCCTAGGAACTTGCTTGCTGAGGTTCTTGCTAACTGTACTGGTGTCAAGGCTGGGGTTTAGCGTGTGCCTTGCCAGGAGGCCATAGCACAAGGGTTAAATGTGTATTGGTGGGTCCTCTTTGCCCTGGGGATATTCTGCAGTGTCATCCATCTCCTGTGTGACAGGGTAGGGAGACTGGGGAGGAAGGATCCTAGACTTCCACAGAGGACTGTGTTTCTGCATGTACCCTGGGAGCGTGGAGACTTCCTTCAATCGGGAGGATAAACTGCCCTGCCTGATGGTCTGCCAGTCCAGGTGTTGCCTTCCCAAGTCCTGTTAAAAGCCCATACTGCGAATGAGCGGAAGAAATATGTATGCCCTCTCTAGAGGGAGTGTGTGATCCTGGGCTCAGGCGGAAGGTGACACCAAGTGCTTGGCGTGCCCTGGCCCTCAGCTGGCCACTGCTGTCTCTTCTGCCCTCAGGTGCCTGACATCATGAGCATCATCCACGGCAAGCTGCAGGAGGTGGATGAAGAGCACGTCCGAAAAGCGGCCCAGCAGACCGTTTACATTCTGGCCTCCCAGCACAAGAGCGTGGTGGTGTCCAGCCTTCTGGGCAGCTCGCTGCCGTTTGATAGGTACCTGGCTTGTGCTGCCACGGCAGCCCAGGGTGTGCGCGTGCTCCGTCAGTGCCTGGGCTTCAAAGCAGCTTTCACTTGAGCTGCAGCTAATCTTTTGGCTCCTTATGCCAGTAATCAGACCCGGCTGGAATTTCCTTTGTGCGCTCAAGGATCAGCACGTTCACTTGCTTTTTAGAGTTGCCTTTAGGGGGGCCTAGTAGCTGCTGGCAGGGCTTAGAGGTGCTCGCAGTGAATGAGCAGACCTGGCTCTAGAGAGCTGAGCGTGGCTAGGTGCTTGGTGCTGCTTTATGGAAGGGGCCACCTACCCCTTCCCAGAGCACTCGAACAAGTCAGCACCAGCCCTGGGCTGAGACCGGAACAGATGTTATCTTCTTCCTTACGCTGCAATTGCTGCTTCATTCCTACTGAGGAAGGCAGGCTTAGAAACCATGTGGGGCTAGGTAGGACCTCTCTGGCTGTTGGCTGGCCTGGACCAGCGGGTAATCAGGGAGCCCTGGGGTTTTGGGACTGAGCAGGAAAGCTTTGGGGGTCACCTAAAGCTTTGGGGGCAGCTGTTGGGTGAGGATTGTGCAAGGGAGCCTGTGCTGCCAGCAGAGGCTGCAGTTGCTCAGTCGGAATATTCCCCTCCCTGGCTGCTCTGGTGCCGATGTGAGCTGAGGATCTCCCCGAAGGGCTGGTCTTGTCTCCACCGGTTCTCCAGTCTCCTTGTGCTCGCTGTGCCCAGCGGCACCCAGAGCCGGGCGCTTGCCACAGTCAGAGCAGAGCTGCTGGGCCAGGTGGCTCTTGTCTGGCTGTGACTCATGCCTCGCCTGTTTCTGTGCAGCGGGTGATGTGACCCAGGTGTTCCCCAACGTGGGCAGGAGGGTGATGCTCACTGTTCCTCAGGCAGAAGAGCCAGCAGCAAATTAATGATGGCAGCTGGTGCCAAAGCAGCGCTCTCCTCTCTGTTCTCATCCAGCCACACGTGCACCATGTGGAGGTCGCTGGCCACGGAGCCAAACCTCACCTCGCAGATCTTGGAGCAGCTCCTGGAAAAGGTGAACAAGGATGTGCCCTACAAGGAGAGCAAATGCTTCCTCTTGGGGAGCAGTTCTGAGCGCATCGCAACGCCTCTCCCTCTGGCGGTAAGTGTCGCGGTGTGGGGCCACGCGTCCCGGAGGCGGCGCTCTGAGCCGCCGCCGAAGATGCCGTCCCAGACACCTCCACCTGGAATGCTTTTTTCATTTCCTTGGCTCGGGGGCTTGTGCCAGGCGTGGACTCTGGAAATAACGCATCGCTGTGTAATGCCTATTAGAGCTAATCCGCAGGCTCGTAAAAAGCCTCTCAGGTGTCCATCCTCAAGGGAGACCACTTTGCATTTTATCCCTTCAGAAAAATAAACCCAGCTTGGCAGCTTTCTAAGCAGTAAAGCAGCTGTGAAAATTTCCTCCTCCTCTGAAGAACCAAATGCAGATGGTACAGAATCAGTCGCACCGAAAGCAAACACTCCTCCCCTCCCCGCTCTGTTTTTAACACCCCTGTATATTGTGCCGTGTAATTACGGCTTTTTAAATTGGCCGGAATAGGGCTCTGCAAACGCAGTGTACGTGTTGTCTTCCTGCCCATAAAACCTGAGCTCTTGGATCTGCTCTCCTTCCCCAGGTACAGACTTCAAACCTTGCCTTCCCCCAACTGGAAACATCCAGGTTTCCAGTGGAGCAGCACTTTTAATAGCATCTGTAGCTCTGACGGAGCTGCATGTGGGATATGGAGAGGTTATGCTGGCAGCGAACGTGAGCGCTTTGTTAGATTCTGCATTGCAGGAGAGGGGAAAAAGCTCCGGCTGCCTTGCTAGCGTTTGCTGGGTTATTTACTAACAGAGCTGAGCGTGGTGTGGGAGATCCCCGCCTAACCCGCTTCTCCCGCACGCTCTCTTCTCGCTCTCTCTCCAGGCCACATGTGCGCTGTATGAGATCATGTCTGCTCCCGAGTCTGGGGCAGCAGTGCTGGGACTCTACCCGCAGTTGTTTGCGACTCTCCTGCTGCGAGTCAGCTGCACCGTGGGTGTTCAGCTACCGAAGAACCTGCAGAGCCGGGAGAGGAGGAGTACTGGCCCGGCCCCCCGCAGCCTCGAGCCCTGCAGGTACGGGCCGCGGGCGCGGGCTGCCGGAGCCGAGGTGGCTCTCCCACCTGCCATGTGGAACTCATTTTTGTTTTTATAAACACAATATTTGTGTAATCTGATGGCTGGGTAATAGCACACGGGCCATAACGTGTTAGGTATGAAGGCCTGACCTCTGCCATGTGGTTAGGGCTCTGGCTTTTTCTGCAGAACAAAAATCTCTAAATTGGGAAGCATTAAATCAGCCGCTTCTGCAGCCGCAGCTCAGATTTGCTTTTGAGCTCCAGCAGCCCAAGTGCCAGAGCCCTGCTGTATTGGGTTACGGCCGCGGCCTCCCGAAAAAGCCCCGCTGGCTTTCAGGAGCGGGTCTCTGCGCGAGGCCTGGAGGGACTACCCGGGCACGTCAGAGGTGGATTAGGGTTTCGTGGGGGAGAGGGGAACAGGGAGGGAGAAGGGTCTGCTTCCTTGAAGAATGGGGAGGGGAAGCTGGAAAGAGCAAGTTTCTTGGCTTCCCAGTGTCAACGGCTGCAGCGTGCCTCAGCTGCGACGAAGAGCTGGCTGCTTGAGCAAACAAAATGGGGCCGCGCTGTCTTCCACCGCGTAAGGACGGCAGTACTAAGGCTTGTCCTGCTGCAGTGCTTTGGGTCTGTAGTGTGCTGAAACACTGGCTAGGAGTCCCAGGACGCCCAGGTGGCCAGGTGGGAGGGTCCGATCCCAATCTCAGTGTGTGTCCTGAGGCCCTCTTCCATGAAATGGGGCTGTGGTCATATCTGGTGCTTGGCAGGTCCCATGACAGGCCGAAGGGGTGCCCACAGCTGTACTGTGATGGTCATCTCAAACGCAGCTCCTGCCCGTTCTCTGAACAGCTCTTGGCCAGCTGTTAGGCTGCCATGAGCTGCCCAGCCTCTGATTCTGGGGATGTTTTTAACTTGTTCTGCTGCTTGTCTGAGTCCATCTGGCAGAGGGCTGCAGGCGGGGGGTGCTGCGGGCAGGCTGGTGCTTTGCAGTGCTCCAGTGAGGTGTGAATGCAAGGTCGCCTCTGGGGAGCTCGGGCTTTGCTTTGAAATTAATGGTGTTGCCCATAACCAGCCTTTAATGAGCTCTTCCTTTACAAGCTGGGAGTATGTGCTTATATCTGTGGTGCTTGGGATCTCCACAGAGGCGAGACCTTCTTTCGTGTGTGAGGAGCTCTTGCTGGCAGGGTGCTGGCACAAGCCTGGCCAAGTAGTTCAGCTTCTCCTTCCCTCGGCTTCTGACCACATCATCTTGACTTGAGCAAAACCTTAACCATTTGGTTCCCTCCAGCCAGGACTGTGCACAACATAAGTGCTTCATTGTCAAAGGCGGGGTAAATAGTCCATGCAGGGTAATAGAAATATGCTAGTCCTGTTGGATGTGGTTCGGGGTATAGTTCGTGTTGCAAAGGACAGGGCCATGCGGGAGTCGTGTCCGTGAGATGTCTGCCTGCCGGTGCCGTGCTCTGCCGTCTGGGGAGCTGCTCTGCCCTGGTGCCGAGGGTCTCTGCATCTCTGGGCTGCATCTGTAGGCCAAAATCTCCTGGTCTTGGAATGTGCCTTCTGAGTAGCTGCATCAAGTGCCGATGTGCTGGGCGTGCAGCCAGGCGGTGTGCTGCCTGCCCAGGACATAGACAGCCTCCACATTGCCAGCCCAGGCAGCGTGAACGCACAGCAGCTTTTTGAAAAGTGGATTCAAGTCCTGGCCCGTCCCTGAGACTGGCACTTCTCGATTTTAAAAGTGGTGTCATAAAAATGGTTTCCTCTGCTGTTGTGAGAGCCCCTAAAACCCAGAAGGGCTGGTTGCTGAACCCAGGCAAGGGTCGTTGCCACTGCTATACACTCCTCTGCTTGAGCCAAACCTTCTGGCTCAAGAAACCCAGAGGGTATTTGCTGGTGTGGAGCAGCGCGTGTGTTGGCTAATGGGGGCAGCCCCTCAGCTGTGTCATCTGCAGAAAGCGGAGATGCTAAAAGGATTCCTGCAAGTGCTGCTTTCCTCTGGTTATGCAGGAGGATGAGCACACTGCACCCCACTGCCCGATCTGGGTGTGCAGGGTCCTCGTCCCAAACCGGATCGCCCTGTGTGTGGCGCTGAGCCTGCAAGCGCAGGGCTGGCTAGCTTGCTGACCGTTGCAGTTGCTCTCTTCTCCTGCGCCTCTGGGCTACGTCTGAGACACTTCAGTCTGTAGGAAAGAGCACCAGGACTTGTCTCTACAGCATCCATGGGTGGTGTGGATGTGAACAGGATGTAAACAGCCCTGCTCCTGTGCACAGCAGCTCTGCCCGGCTGGGGACTCCCAGGAGGCTGCTCTGGGGCTGGGCTGGGCTGCTGATGGACATCAGTCATCCTGTCTGTCCATGCCATTGTGCGGTGCCAGCGGGTGCCCTGCAGGCTTCAGCACTGCTTCTGCTGGCCAAGCAGAGGCAGCTTAGGGATTTCCAGCTTACGAGTGGTACTTGCACTTGGTTTAAAGCGCCATAAATTTATGGGAACATCGAGGTTAAACCCTCGTCAAAGCAAGCAGTAGCAGAGTGCTGCGGTGCTGCTCAGGTTGTAGGCGCGAGGGCTGTTTGGGAGAGCAGAGGATCCCTCCTCTGAAGCTGCCCCTGTTCAGGCACGTGCTTGTACGTACCTACGAAGCCCGTGGTTAGCTAACCGTCTAAAGATTCCCCTAGGGCTTTGGTTGGCCTATGTGGAAGAAGCTGTGCCCTGATTTTTGAGTTTTATCCTCATGCGGGTTTTCAGATTTGGGTTTTTTTTTACAGGCTATTATTAGTCTTGGAAAAAAAAAGGCTAGAGGAGCCCACAAAGACACCAAACAAAGTGGCAGCGAGTTAAAAGGGCTCTAGCATCACTTGACAGCTCATTTGTCAAATCCCAACTGTGAAGAAAGGCTGTTTCCTCGCACTGAGCGGAATGATTGGAATGGAGGCGTAGGACAAACTGAGCAATACCCGCCGGCTGCCCAGACGTACCGTGGTGGGCCCCGTCTTCATCTTGGAAAGCTGCTGCTAATGCAGAGGGTAACTTTTCCAGCACGGAGATGTAATGAGTGGAAACAGGTTGTTATGCTGGATAGCAGGGCTGCTATCTGATTAGTGTTTTATTTAGACCACATGTTAGAGCAAAATTAAAAGAAACCCAATGTGTTGGCGAAGTGGGTTGGTTAACGCGGAGCTCGGCTTGCCTTGCTGCTGCTGATTTTGTGTGCGCAGCTGGCAGCGCTCGCTGGCCAAACTTGTGACACTTGTCCTGTTCCCCCAGGGTGTCCTTGCTGTGGCGAGGTGAGATGGCTTCGCACAGATCCTCCTAAGGGGAGCGGACACTTGTGCTTCCTTTGTGGCTTTGGGCTCATGCACCCAGAACTGTCTGTTCTCTTAGCGCTCCTCTTCCTTAATGACTCCTGGAAGAGAGGCACGGTCAGATCGCAGCCAGACCCCTTACCAAAACATGAGGAATACTTAAGAAAACTTGAAGCAACTGGGAAGGGAGGCGTAGGAGCCAGAAACTACTGCTCTTCCTCCAAAAGTGTCTGGACTCTGGACAGCATCAGGGACACAAACCAGGATGTGCTGCACCATCTGTGGCTGACAGCTCCTGCACTGGAGCTGGGGCTGGACTGCTCCACGAGTCTTGTAGCGGTGGCCCAGACCCCACCTGGGTGTGCTCCACAGCAGCGAGGCCACGATTCTTCCCAAGTGAAACTTCTGGGTGTGAGAGCCCCTGGATCCGTGTTGCAGGAAAAGCTGCCATGCCTGCCAGGAAATCCAGAGGAGTCAGCAGTTTCTGTGGTGGGAGCTGCGCTTCCTCAACACCCACCTTCTCGGCAACGTTGGCTCAGGGGTGGGAGTGTCCCTCTGCCCAGTGTCCGGTTGTTCCTGGGGAGGAAGCTCAGCTCTCCGTGTCCCCGGAGGCTGGCACTCTCCTGCTGGAGCTGGATGGGACAGCGAGCTTCTGGGGAGCGGCGTGGCCGCGCGCAGGACTTGCTGGCTTGCAGCGGTGCAGGTTGTGCCGGAGGGGCTTTCCCAGCTAGGCCAAAGCTAGAGCTGAGGATGCGAGGGAGCAGGAGCTGGTCCGCATGCAGGACGCTCTGGAGCAGCTCTGCTTTGGAGGCAGAGTCCAGGTCAATTCACGTGGTGAGCAAAAGCAGGCTAAGTCTTGAGCAGTTCCCCTGTAGGCAGTAAGCAAGACAAGCCACTTCATCACAGCGCCTCGGACCTGGCTGCGGCTGGCACACTTGTGCCTGTGTTGGGTTTCCTTGTGCTGTTCCTCAGATCTCTGCTTAGTCTTGCAGGTGTTACTGCAGAGCAGCAATGTTGTCCTGGCTGTGCATCGCTGCAATGAGTACCCTGGTGATGTCACTGTTTTTTTGGGAGCAGGAAGAGGGGTCGTGTCTTGCTAGCTACTTCCAAAAATGACTAGTCCTGATCGAAGGGGCAGGGAACAGCATATGGTTCCGCTCTGAGATACGTGTCTGCCTTTGCTGCATGGGTGCAGGCAGGTAACTGTGGCTCGGTGTCCATGAAGTCATTGCTGATTGATGGAGGGGGAATAGTCTTTGTCCAATGTGCAGAAAAAACGCAGAGATGTGAAATTCCAGCCTTGTCCCAGGAGCTGGTTACAATATCAAAGTAATTTCCTGTACGCGTTTTGAATTCAAAGTCTTCATGATATTTAAATGCCAAAGAGAGATGGTAAAGGTGAATATGATAGCTTGGCAGGAAAAAGAGTTTGGAAGACATAGGCTTTTGTTGGAAAGGAAGGAAGTGTCTATAGGACACTGGAAAAAGCAAACCTTGTGAATGAGCGACTTGAACCATCTGTCTTGCAGGAATAGCCTCTGTTTATGGAGCGGCTAACTGGCTGTTCTTGCTTCAGGCTTTTTCACTCTTGTTAAAAGAGAGGGAGAGCCTGGAACTGCAGGTTGAGAGCTGAAAGCTCTCAGGGAGGTTTGGATGGGGCTGGTATCCCACAGCCGGGGAGCTGGCCCTGCTAAGAGCCGCATCCAAGCTGGTGCTGTGGCGATGCCTTTTAGACCTGGTCCTGCCTGCGCTGTCCGCTTTATGGAGGGCGGATCTGAGCAAAGCCCTCTCGCTGAGATTCGGCAGGGTGCCTGGAGGGGGTTGATGGGCAATCCCAAGCTCGAAGTCCGCGCTCCTCCCAAGGGGGACGAGCGCCCTCGCTAGCTGGGACAGCAGTCCTGCCAGCCTGGGCTGAGCTGGCCTGACTGGTGGGGCTGATGTCCGGCCCCTCTCCCAGCTTGCTCCCAGAAGGGCTTTGCACCTCCAGACGGAGCCCAGTGCGATCCCAAATGCAATAGCCTGCGTGCGTGCTGATACAAGCCTGCGTGGCGCAGCCAAAAGAAAGCCTGTGGGAAGCTCGTCAAGCCTTCATCGGGCTATGTCTTCTATCAGCATCTGCTAGGAGGCTTTTTTGTTGCTGTTTTCTTATGCTGCGAGAAAATAAATACTCGGAGATCCCACTGTGGCTTTTTTGGACTAAACTGCTGGTTAACTTGTATGCAAGCAAAGTTTTGAGGCTTATGCAGATTTCCTGCTCTGCAGAAACGTTAACAGTCCTAATGATCTGTGGATGGCTGCCACAGGAGGATGGTCTCCGCTTTCCAGGAGCAGGAGGAAGATTCAGGTTGGGCTTTGGGGCAGGGGGATTCCCTGGTATCAAGGACGAGAAACACAGGAATGGCTGAGAGGTGTGGAGGCGTATTTGAACTTGAGACCATAGCCACAGCCCTGGGGAGCTCAGCAGGGCTGGACTGCTCTGCCACGGTGCCCTGGGCCAACTGTCATCAAAACGGTGCCCTCAGGCCATCGGAGAACCGAGCTGGATGTGTTTAGCTGGAAGGGCTGTGGGACATCCAGATCTCCGAATGGCAAGCATACGTGAAAGGTGCATCGTACGCTCCTGCTGCACTGACTGCCTTAATGAGCAAGAAGGCTGGGTTTCGTTCCAGGCTGCTGGAAGGAATATTTGAGGTCAGAGACTAACCCCTTGCAATGGGTGAAAACATCTCTGAATGAAGACACTTGCATATCATTTAACAATTTCTGCTACAGCTTAAGAAAAGGAAACTGAAGGTAGCTCAGAAAAGCTGTGCATGCTACAGTAAAGAGTCTCCGTTTGAAAACTGGTCAAAAAGCTTTAAGACCTCTGTGGCTTGACTCCAAGAAAGTAAAAAGAGGACTGTTATCTATGCCAGCAGATTGGCATGGTGGGGGCGGGGGAAACACATGAGCATGCGGACAGACCCTTTTCCAGTCAGGGCTTTTTCAGAGCAGAGCAAACTAGCTCCGTAAGTGTTCGGGGTCCTGCTTTTCTGTTTCCATGGCTAGTGGGTACAGCTAGCCAGCTCCTCTGAGGCACGCTCGTGTCCGTAGGCTTGTCTGGGTGGGTTTTGTGGTGCAGCCCTCGGGCTCTGGCGTCTCCTGTCCGGTAGGTCCAGAGCTGCGAAGGCCGTTCAGCCGCTGTACGTGTCTCTTTGTGAGAGCAGCACGGGACCAGCCAGCTTCTGGTCAGGTTCACGGAGGATGCGGCTGAAGGTGCCTGAAGCTGCAGAGAGGCAAAACGTCCCCATGCTAGGAAAACAGAGCTCCTGCCCAGCAGTGGAAATGGCTGTGCCAAGCAGGGCAGCAAAACTACTTCATCCTCTCATTTGTTTCCTTTCCTCTCTGCGCTTTGTGTGTTTGCCCCTAGAAGAAGCTCAGCTTTGGCCCTGAACGATGCTCTGCTTGTGCGAGTAGACCCTTGAGGCACTTGTCCTTGGAGGAAACCCAACCCGGGTTTATTTTCCTTGCGTGTGCAGTGGGTCAGTGTTTATTTTCCATCGTTAGTCTTGACTCTGGACGTGCTAGAGGAGAGATCGTATATCCTTCATTAAGGAAAGCTTGGGGTTGTTTGGGTCTTCTGCAGTCGCAGCTGCTGGAGCACGTGGCTGTGGCGGAGCCCCAGAAGCAGCCCTGGACGCCGTAGGCTCCCGGAGCTCGTGCGAAAGGGGTGACCGTCCCACTGAGCGCCGCTCCTTGTCACGGCAGCTTAATCCGCTCCTCCAGGAAGCTAAAATAGCAGGAACCCAAGTCGTGAGCTTAAAGACCTTCACTTTGAGATGCTCTTTGAGTGGCGTTTTCTTCATGTGTGGTAAATGCATTCCTCTTGCTTGTATTGAAGCCTAAGATTTATCCATTACTAATATTTGTTTTGTTTTGACAGGATAATGTATGTTTCCCATATGTTGCTCTGTGCTTGCAGCAAAATAATCCCTACCTATAAAATATTAATGCAAAAAAAACCTTCTTAAAGTAGTTCTGGACTTCTTTACTTTTCAGTCTATTGTCTTGGATCGCTTTAACGGCAAATGTCACAGTGTAAATGGAAGTAGCAGTGAGTTATGGATTTGTCTCACTCCCGCTAAAGCCCTTGCATAACTCATTCAGTCCTCAAGTACCCTAACGCCCCTGAACGCCCCCCTCTTCCAGCGCTCCCTTTGTGAGAAATTCCCTCTAATTTACTGCAGCGTGAGATGCTGGACCCCCCCGCTGGGCTGGCGGCGCTGTTGGCTGCGGTCTGC